GACTGTATTGGATATTTTTGATTGCACACTAGTCAGTAACTAGTGTAATGTGTCTAGTCCTATCTTCACTGCAGACTGAATTCTATCAGTCAAGCTTGCAATGTGGCCACCGTGCTAGGTGGCTCGCCATTACGGTGCACTGTGAATTGTTGGTATTAGATGGTTGGAGGCAATCGGCAGGAAGCCTTGGACATTACTTAAATCCACAGTTAGTTATTAAGAATAATCTTTTAAATTACCATCGATTTTGGTAAGATATAAGTACTTCCTTCCATAGGGTATGATTGACAACCTTGTTGACTACAATATGATGCGGTATGGATTGTCTTGTGAATGTCTGTGTTTTTGTTTACCTCGTTTTAAACTGCGTAGATTTCTTTTTAGAAAAACCAATAATAATGTTTCCTGTTAGTATATATTTAAATTATTTATAATTATGCAGTATTTTATGGCTTATTTCATGCATAAAGTATCAGTTATTGCAACGGTACACAATAGGCACTACAGTCAAATGACCTTGAACCAACCACTTAGATCACCCGTAATATTCAATGAAAGTTCCATTCTGATTCGCGGTTAAGGGGTTAGGGTAGAATTAAGGTCAAGGTGAAACTTCCAACGAAGATTATTGAAACTGAAACGAAGATTAGGTTTATAGCGGAACTTGCAACGATGATTAAGAGTGAGATGAAAGCTGTAACGAAGATTATGAAAAGCATCCGTTTGTAATGCTGAGCCGCAGTCTGATTAGTTGATTCAAGGTCACTTGTTTGTAGTGTATATTAGTTAATGTAGCCATCATAATTAATATTACGTCAATAAATTGGTGAAATGCGGTAATGAAGAACATCGAGAACATGAGTGAAAGACAACAATGGAAAGGTAATGGTGGTTATGAGCCATAGAATTACAGAGATGCTCTAAAAAATTATTATTTTTATTACTCCCTTGAGTTCTGAGTGGAAAATAAGGCTACAGTGACACATCTTCAGTTTGTTCTACTTTCTACCATCTACTTCATTTGGGTCCACGACTGCCAATAATCTCTCATCTTCTCCTCAATACACGGTTTCCTCCATGTCACTCTGGGACAACCCATTCGTCCCTTACCCTTGAGATTCCACTCGAGTGCTGGCCTGGTGTGCTATGTCATTCGATGGCCTTCGCAACTTATGTCCAATCCATTTCTATTTTCTTCTATATATTTGTTGAGCAATCGGCTCTTGAATGAAGCAATAGAAACCGTTTTTGTAGAATAAAATGGTACCATCATGTATTACGTTGGCTTCTCATCATCTGCTTATAGCCAAAAGTCATTGTTAATTATATCTACAGAAACAATTTTAACGGGCTTCCACAGAGTTCGTTTTTAAACAAAAATCAATCGATACATGTATACAGTAATATATATATATATATATATATATATATATATATATATATATATATATGATAAACACTTTATCCGGAACAATAATGATCATACACAACAGAAACTTTCGACACTACGTAATCAGATGAAAGAGAGAGTGAAAATATCCAGTTATCAGAGTAATAAAAGACTGATAACTGCTTATTTCTGAACGCATAAATCAAGTTTCAGGCGCTTAATGGAGATCGCTTCGGCAAACTTAGGGAGAATTGATCTCTTTTGCATACTGACAAGTTTGAACGATCTTGCGACATCCACTTCATGACCTGTGTCAAGGAGATGCCTGGCTATGGTACTGTTTAAAGCATTTGTTGTCTTTAGACATAGGCTTTTTGGCACATTTTCATAAAATCCGAGGTATGCCCTTCATTATTGTTCGGAATAATGTTTTTAATATATTTATGTATATATTATTGTATGTATGTATTGACGGATTGACATTTCCGTCTTCTTTGAGTTGCAGAAGCCCTAGTCATTGAGTTGGAAGAACTAGAACAATGCATACAAAAGAAAATTATTCAACCACTTCTACTCTCATGGTAACAACTCTGTTGATTTGACTTAACTTTTGTTTGTATGCTTATTTTTCTAACCACTTAAAACGTTCGCGTAATTCCGTATGTTATTTTGTTTCCATGATCAACCTGAGCACAATTCTTTCATCAAACTATTCACATTATTACGTAACTCTTCCTTAACAATCAATTGTGACAACGCATCTCTTTTGTTACTGCCCTCTTAAATCAACATCCAATCCATTTGAACTTATTAAGTGTATTTTCGTTTGGCAAATTTAATATACACGCACATACAAAACAACAATACATATTTGTGATTGTACAGCTATGAAAATGAATTCATCGAAAGGAGACTCTTCACTGATCTACTGGTCTTCTGTCTATTAATGATTGATTTTTATTTAAAAAATGAACTCTGAGGAAGTATGTTAAAAATTATTTCTATCGATATAATTTACAATGACTTTGGGCTGTAAGCAGATGATGATGAGAAGCCAACGTAATACATGATGGTACCATTTTATTCTACAAAAACGGTTGTTATTGCTTTATTCAAATTCATTAAGGGAAACGACGTATGAAATCGGCTCTTGGTTGGTTTGTTCCTAGTGTTTCTTGTTGCTTATTCTTTCTCAACGGCCATTTGATCTTTAATACAGAGCGAAGGCAGCAATTGATAAAAGTCTGTAACTTGTTGTAAATCTTTTTCATGATATATGGGGTAGGTTTCTGTCACATATAGTAGAGGTGACTGACTTCACATTTGTGTTGAAAATCCGAGTCTAGTTCTTTATGTTGCAGAGTGCAGAAGATTTCCAAGCTGGTTTCAGGTTGTTTAAGGCGTATCTTGCCTTTCCGATTCTGGCTGGTTTTGAAATTTTCATCCGTTTCTACTGCCTTTAGTTGAAACTATGCTTTCTGGCTGGATAAGTGAAGGAGGTAACCTCTGTAAAATCTCTCCTGTTGATGATGATTGGTAGTGGTTGCTGTTGTTGCTACCTCCGTCTTCCCTGTGTTCACCTGCAGTCCTGTCTTCGCTTCCTTCCTCTCCAGCCAGTTTGTTGCTTTTCGCCTGCAAGTATTCTGTCACCTTATTTGTTTTCGTCTATCGATCTTCCAGTTTGTGTGACATATGACATTAATCGTTCATGAAGTCTAAAAATCCCAGAGTTTTCTTATAGGTTTAACGTATTCATGACTTTTCTCTCCCTATGCATGGTCTATCATATAATCCAGTTTACCACAATCACCAGTGATGATATCCAGGCTTGCCTTACACTCCTGTGCTGAATTTTCCGTTGTGGTTCACCTGATACGTGATATTACCATATAGCTGTGGCTGGATAAGGCTGATAAAGATTTGGGGCAATTCGTAGTGTTGAAGTAGTTTCCTTCGCGGCCAACTTTGTCGAAGGCTTCTTCAATGTCGGAGTAGTTGGGATAGACGTTTGACTGCCATTTTATACTTTCTTTGATGGTAGTACATACAGCTGCAATTTGATCCACACATCATTTGCTTTAACTGAATTCAGCTACTAAAGGTGGAGTTCTACTGTGAATGTACTACGATAGCAGTTAGTGAAATCATTTATAGACCAAGTTAATCAAATTTTGGGCCAGACAGAAGAAAATAAACGTAGCAAATTCTTACGAAATTTCCTAAGTTTCATGTTAGCTGACGATCTGACTTATACCAAAGTTGGAGAAGACCAGTGAATATCATATGTATGGGTGTGTACTACACATGACACCACAGCCAGGAGTTAGTCACTACCAGTTGCCAAATGGTTCACAGGCTCACCTTATTGTAATCTAAAGGTCGTGGTTTGTTCAGCTCCTGGAGGTGGCGCCATGGATGGGAACATACTGGTGAAGAGTGTCAAATAGAGACGAAGCGGCTGTCCAATACACACTATTGATGTAGTTTTTGAAGGCCTTCTGTAACTGATGTGTATTTCTAAGTTCATGGCCAATCTTCAGTTTATTACTGTGTGTGTAAGGTAGTCCCTTGAATGAAATGGCATGGGCAGTGTTTGAATGGTGGATAAACGACATTCAATAACCAGCAGGTTGACTTTGAAGTCAGCATATATCTGCCAAGCACAGAATGTGTGTTAGGTGCGCTTGTCCTGCCGGTAATCACCTATTGTGGACAACTTATCAGGTTGTTACGTGAGGGTCCTGGAACGCAAGGACAAAGAAAACTCCCGAACTAGGACGAAAAAGTTATACAGTATAGTACTTTGGTACTAGTTTTCATTTATGAACATCAATCTTGAAATCCACCAAATTCTCACTACCCACCCACTTAGCAAACTGACCAACTAACCTTATTCAGGTTGGTGGTTACCTGGGTTCTGGTGGGAAGTCGTTAACATTAGATTGCAGCAAGTCAGATGTGAAGAGAAATACTCGCCGATGACATTGGCTGGCGAATTGGCAGAAGCTGGGATTCATGGGTAGGCCATAGGATAGGGTCCCAGTGGCTTAATGATCTACAAGCTCGGCTTCTAACAGGAAGGTTCTGGATTCGAACACTGGCAGGGGGTGCGTGCTGATGAAGAGTCTCAAACTAGCCTGATGCAACAGCTGTCCAGTACTCCCAGGTTTTCCAGTAGTTTTCCAACTGATATCAGCTCAATGATGAAGTCATGTGACCAATCAAATCCCTGCAAACTAACACTTGAATATTAACACCTAAAAGCTTGATAATGTATTTACAAGTGTGATAAGTGACACTACTTATTTTATTCTTTCTAATCTGTCTCCCTCTTTTTTCATTTTTTAGTGTTGATTCTGGACTTTTTCCCCAACACAGACTTGTTATTTTTTACTAGCCTACATTCGACCTATAACCCACAACGACTAGTCATGAACATCCACCGTTGATCTACTAAGAGAAAATAACCGGTTGACCAATAAAAACAACGAATTCTATTCACCTGTCTGTCTATCTTACAGCAAAATGATTTGTCCAATCATTTAACAAATAATAATGGCCTGTCTGTTTATCTACCTGTTATTATGGGTATGTTATAAATCTTCGGAATTGTGTAGTGTGAAACAATGTGTGCATATCACATTTGATGTGTTTCCCTCTCTCTGTATGTCTATGTGCGAAGGTGCAGTTTTCCTGAAAAGACCTCATCACCATCATTCCCACATATTGATTTAATTTGCTGGCGGGATATATATCTACTGCTACTGCTCCTTTGGTTTTTCAGCCTTTCCCGTTTTCCGGGTCTCTTTCCCTACACCTTTTGTCCATCCTGTTTTTTCGTGTGAACATCACAATAAAGCTTTTCTAAAAAATAATGGAAACGCGTATAAATTAATTGTATACGTGCGTGCTTGGGTGTGTGTGTGTGTTCGTCAGCACACACAACACGTAGAGATAAATATCGATCCGAACATCCAGGAAGAACCAAAGAAAAGTAAATAAATCGAACGAAAAGTAAAAGGTCACTAAAAACCAAGCCGAAAAAGAATAGGCCAACCAACCCAGTTGATTTAGAAAGTATATATATATACTAACTACACTGATCAACACTTGTTCATTGCACACATTAATTTGGAATTACGTAATCTCACTTTAAACGCCTGTTCACCAATAAAGGAGGCGAACGAATCATGGAAAATGGGGAAGATGAGGAAGAGGATGATTTGTCTGAAGGTTCTCTGAGTCAATCACACCAACCACACCAAACGATACAACTGAGAAATAAGCCAACAACGCTAGGAGGAAATCAGCGACCGGGTAGTCGAGCGCCAACCATGACAATTGATGTTGTACGTGTCGGGAGACCATTAAAAGTAAGTGAGAATTGATTAATGATAAAAGTGCTGTTAAATTATTACTATCATTATTATTCCATTTCGTCCTGTATCTCCCTAGCTGGCACCAAGACTTACCGCGAGTTCTAATCTCTTCCTCATCCCATGCCTTCAATGACATCATCAAATCCATGCCCAGAACATCGTTTTCCATTTAATTATATATATCCAAACCAAGTTCACTTTTAACGGTCTGAAAAAATTTGGGCATTGGGTATATGATATTCATTATAATAGAGGTTTTTTGTATTTCCCAATGAATGAAAAAACAAAACGAGATTGTTTTTACTAAAAACAATCTCGTTTTGTTTTTTCATTCATTGGGAAATACAAAAAACCTCTATTATAATGAGTTTTCCATTTAAGTCCCACCGGATAAATGACTCTGTTAATCCCTTATGACTGAGGACATCTGATATTTAGTGTCACACAGAGGCAGCTCTTGATGAAGCCTGCTAGAAAAGCATTGCTGATATAGTCACATACCATCTTCTCTGTATCAACCTTGGAACTACGCCCAACTCATTGTTTCTCATATGGGTTAAACTCAATTGCCTGGCATGCTATGTTACCCACCGGTCTCCTCAGTGTGTGACCTATCCATCTCCATTTTCTTATACATATTTGTTGAGTAACAGGTTCTTGATGGGTTCGCTCACAAAGTCTTCTTTCTGACCTGCCATCTGATATTCAATATGTAGCCGTTGATAAAAGCCTAAAGCCTGTTGGAAATGCTTTTCATGACATGTTCTCTAAGACTATGACCCAAGTAGAAGAACTGACTGAATGATTTAACACTGGTGTTCAACAGAATTTGAAATTTGGTGTTTATGCTGAGGCAAAGTACAGTGGACTTCCAAACTGATTTCTCAGTGACGAAGTTCTGCCTTGACTTTCCGATTCTGACTAGTTTAGACATCCTCATTCGTGTCTCCATCTAGATAAGTGAAGGAAATAACCTCTTTCAAATTTCACCCGTCGACATTGACTGGTGCTTACTGTTGCTGTTTCTATTGGTTGGTTATTTTCATCGCCTATTTCATTTCGATGTTCACTTCAATTCATGTTTCCATTGCCAGCCTCTTCTTCCAGCTTGTTGGTTTTTCCCTGAAGGTGTTCGAATTTAAGTGACATTAGATATAAATCTTCAGCGAAGTCTAGATCTTACAGAGTCTTACTACTGTTCCAACGTATTCCTGTGTTATCTTGTGCGATGCACGGTCTTCCGCATAACTCAGTCCAGAAGTATCATCTATGGTATAAGGCAGGAAACCTTGTTTTATTGTTATCTTCACTTCAGCGGCAGGCTTCACTGAGTTTTTCGCTGTGGATCACCTGAGATGGTAATGAGTGTCAATAAATTAACGAACTCTGTAACCTCATGTAACTACCTGTCTTTAACCATTCGAAACATCCAGTGACGCAGCTGCGGACCTTGATTTGTTTAGTTAATAGTGCGTCATAGGTTCAAACCCCACTTTAACTAATTACCGAGGTTTCGACGGCTGTCAGGTGGTAATATCATCTGAAATATCACTAGCCCCTCCCCTCATAAACATATGCACCAAATATGTGTGACTCACTGTAACCAACTGGGCGTGGAATTATTGCGACTGGTTGATTGGTGTTTTCTAGTAAAAGTCTTTTTCATTTTGACACCTGATAATTACATAACAGATATAGGTACAAAACAAGAAACGCGAAAGATTTTAATTTTAGGTGAGAATTAATGCGCTTTTTATATTTGACTTTGATTGATTAGTCGATCGACCCAGAGATCTATTGACGAATCCATAGATCAGTAAACTGATTAAATGATTGACTAATTGATAAACCGATAGACAGACAAACCGATTGGCAGACTGTCTGACCAACTACATACAGTGAAACATTGCTGAAAATGGCGAAATGTTACCACACATTCCTATCATATTAATTTGACTTCTATTGTGTGATCATTTGAGTGACACGAAATTATTGATTCCATTTTTCATGTGTAGAAGAATCAAAACTGGTTTTGTGTAAGAATTTACTTTAGTTCAAGGTGGATTACATAATGAATAAAAATAATAGTAAAAATAGTTGAATGATAGTGAGACGTTAAACTGTACTTTGGGAATGTTAGTTAGCATCATTTTCGAGTGGAACATAGGACTTGCCATCGCTATTTATGTCTTTTCTCCACAGTCTCTTTCAGACAGCGCCACGATTGCATATGAGCTTTCCTCTCCTTTATCTTTTTTCATAGGGGTTGCACTCGAGAGCCTACAAGGTCTCCTGAGCATGTGCTCTACACATTCACATTCCCTTTAGCTTACTTGTTGATTTCATAATTTCTCTTTGGTTGTTTCATCGCCTGCCAGATTTTCTTGTTGCTTATCGTTTCCGACTGCTCATCTGATTTTCGCTATGGAGCGAAGGCGACTATTGGCAAAAGTTTGAAGTAGTCACGTAGAAGAATTGTCTTCAGTTAGGCGTAAGGCGAATTTCGTGAAACGTTTTGAAACAGAGCCTTGATAGGGTACCTATGTAACTTTTAAATAATTTGGACGATTTAGTTTATTAAACTAAGAATATTATTTTCTGAAACTTCTCCACAGAGTTCTACATTTGGAATTCTTCGGCGGTACGAACCCAGGATATTCTGATTACAACGTAAGCTTGTGGGCCATTCAGTCATTGGGACTTGACTTATTGTCCTGTGCATGAATTCTAACTTCCCCAATTCGTGATTTCAGTGTGACTATCACCAGCCAGTGTCATCCGCAGAGAGTATTTGTCCTGACTGATGAACACCCGTGGTCACGATTTCTTACCAGAAAATCCCCTAGGCGACTTCATTCTGCAACCAGTTACCAGCGATCTTCAGATTAATTTTCAAGTACTCCGTGGTTCTTAATGCTACTGAAAATTATTTCCATCCTTGACCAAATATGAAACTTGTTGTTATTGACAAAATTAATACATATTGAAATAATAGAGAATGTTTGTCCTGCTTTGGTGGACGATTTTGATTCAGTTGTGTTCTCTGAGCCGTCTGATTTGATTACGGAGCCTACGTTGTCCTACTTCTAGACAGCATCCTTTGAGTACAGGTTTTAGTATGAAGTGAACTTCTCTGAATTCTCTATGAATAATATAATTGTATCTTCCGATACCAATGGTCGTGACTGGTTGTTAGTTTACGTCTCTATTCATCATTTTTATTGACTTCGAATTTTGACTTTTGCCGGGGGGATTTAATTTTTACTAGTTGGTAAATTTAGTCTACTGTAATGTTTGTTAATCGCTGATTCTGCTGAGTACCAGGCTCTCAGAAATTCCCTGACTTCATTTTTATTGTTACGCATATTTAAAACTTCTACATTATCCCAACTAAATTGATGTCCATAATTATCTACATACATTGATATGAAAGAATATGCATATCATGTCTTTTCACACCTAATTTTTATTCCTGGATTCTTATTCGAAGGGGACACCCACTTTGGCCGATGTAATGTCTGTTACACTTCATACAATTTATTTTGTAAATGGTATTAATTTTATCTTCTTTTTGTGTTGGATCTTTCCGTCTACACAATATCGAATCAAGTGATTGTGCTGGTTTATGTGCTATATCTGTTTCAAGCGGTTTCAATATTCTAGCTGTTTTTTCAGGGATATTTTTATATATGGCAGGATGAATTTTCTTGTATTCCTTGATGATTGTTTCTTGTTGGTGTTTTGACTCGAGTTTTAACACATTTTGGTGAAATTGTGAGGATATCCATTTTCTTTGAAGATGGTCATTAGGTATTTTTCTCTCATTTTCTTCAACACCGGTGTGCTACAGTGTATTCAAACTCTTTTAAACAATGTCTGCACACAGTTTCTTTTGTGGGTAATTGGATTATTACTGTTATAGTTGAATTTGTGAGATGTGTGCGTGGATTTTCTATACACTTTTGTTGCTAAATTTCCTGTATAAGTTCTATTGATTAAGACACTGAGAAATGGAATTTTACTGCCTAATTCTTCTCCTCTTGTGGATTCAATATCTTCAAATGTGTTGTTTGTTAATTTGTGGGAATATTCCAGATCATTTCTTCTAACTATTGCAGATGTATTACCAACGTAACATACTCAGATTTTCGGTTTAATTATAGGTAGAGTTATTAATTCTAATCTTTGCATGACGGCTTCAGTTATTAATCCTGATATGGGCGATCCCATTGGTGTTCCTTTTATCTGTTCGTATATCTGATTATTGAATTGTAAATTATATTTTAAGATTTAATTCTATGAGTTCCATCGAAGTTGAGTAATGTGCTTTTGTGTTTTCACCATCATATATTAGTTGTTGCCTAATTTATTTTGCCACTTTTGGACCAAATGAAGTTTATAACGCTGTGACATCGAAGAACACCATTGTTTCATTGTCATCTGAATGAATGTTTTTGACTTACTCTGAAAATTAGATCGGACAATTGATAAGAGGGCTCTGTCAGGTATTTTAATTTTCTGAAAAATTCTTTAGATAGATTATATGTTGGTGTTCCTGGCAGCGAACCAACTGGTCATAAGGGGATGTTCGGTTTGTGTAGTTCCGGTCTACCGTAAAATCGAGGTAAAACCGATTCGTTGGATTTCATTCGCCATCGAAAAACGGCGAAGTGATTGAATATCAGATAAAATTATGAAGAAACCCATACAGAATCTGTGAATTTATAGACTCCACAAAGCAGGCAACAGCAGCAATAGTGACTGAACTTCTTTCTTTTTTGCACAGATTTCCGGTCGTTTTAAACCTGTTGCAATGGCTTCTACCTAAAAATGTATACTACTGATTGACTGAGATGAGTAGTTGCATACCACTCACAACAACCAGTAGTGTTAGCAGTTCAAATTGATCTAAACACCAGATGGCCATTTTATTCGTTTGGGGCCGAGCTCATCCGCCAGCGATGTGCCCTATCTGACTCAGGTCCCAGAGCTAG